CCACCAAAACCAGGACAGCAACTCTTTGACCGCCACACACAATTACCCAGCCCAGTGTGTCTTCCTGCCCAGGTAGACACAATCAGTGAGTGAAAAGCACAAGCTCTGCCATCAGTTAACTTGAGGGGAGTCCCATACACCAATCCTCAGTATCCCCAGGCTGGCTCCTTCCACAAACGTGAGTGAAGACACGGGCAGGACCAGTCCCACCAGCACCCCAAGGCTCCTCTGCATTCACAGAGCACCATCCTAGCCCTAACAGTGTGGGTGGCAGAGCCACCAGCCACACACCAAATTGACATGTAAAACCAGGAACAGCAGCAGCTCCACAGACAGCAGTGACTCTGCACTGAATTTGGCTCTCCAGCTCCTATTTGTCAAGATCAAAGAGACTGAGGTTTAGCGCCAGCTTCACTGAGCTCAGGAGATGCTGTAAAATGGCTGAGTCAAGGGCAGGTCTGGATCCTTTCCCTCACTGGCTGCAAAAACCCCAAAGATATCCCAGCACCTACAAGGGAGCAGTCCCCAACTTCTTCAGGGCTGGGACTGCACTCCAAGCAGTTCACAATCAGACCCTGGCCACTTAATATGAGGTAAATCAGCCTCTGTTGGACATTTGCCCATGACTTGTGCTGGGTACATGCAAAATGACTCAAGGAGGAGGCAGACAGGTGGGATAAGAGCTGTAGAGAAAAGGGGAAATCATGCCAGAGAGCTGCTCTGGGAGTGGCTCACCCTGAGGTCACAGAAACATGGCATATCCTGAGTTGGAAGGGACCACAATGATCATTGAGTGCAATTCCTGTCCCTGCACAGGACAACCCAACAATCCCACCCTGTGCCTGAGAGCACTGTCCAAAGAGTTCTGGAGCTCTGGAAGCCGTGACCATTCCCTGGGGAACCTGGTCAGTGTCTGACCCCCCTCTGGGGGAAGAACCTTCTTCTGGCATCCAGCCCAAACCTCCACAGACACAGCTCCAGCTGTTCCCTTGGGTCCTGTCCTGGATCACAAGAGAGCAGAGATTGGATTTTGCCCGTCCCCCTGGCATTCCCAACATGAGAGTGGGTGTGAGCTGTGACAGCCAAGGGACAGTGTCCTGGCTCTGCTCTGCCACGCCTGCCTCTGGCATGGCTGGCACAGCCGGATGTGCACCCAACAGGAATGGGGTGGGATGGAAGAGAAACAGACTGAAGGGGACTGCTCAGGCCTAGAGGATGACACAAGATTGGTCACTGGGAGATGCAGACAATGACAGAGCTGTTGCCAGAGGGAGGATGGGATTGGACAGGACAATATGATATGGCCAGGAGATGGTGGAATGGGATGGCATGGGAGAGGACCACTGGGACTGAACAAAGAGAATGGGGTTGGCTGGGATGGGATCAGGAGTGACAAAACAGAGGGGGAAGGATGGGACAGAATAAAACAGAAGGGAAGAGATGGAATGAGATGGCATGGCATGGCATGTCATGGAATGAAACAGAGGGGATGGAATGGGATGGCATGGTAAAGGCTAAAACAAAGGGGATGGAATGCATGCCATGGCAGGAAAGGACACAGGACAAAAGAAGAGATAGAATGGAATGGGATAAAATGGGGAATCAGATTGGGATGGGACAGAGTAAAACAGAAGGGAAGAGATGGATTGAGATGGCATGGCGTGGCACGGCATGGCATGAAACAGAGAGGATGGGATACAACGCAATAGGGTAAAACAGGGGATGGGATGGGATGGGATGGGATGGGATGGGATGGGATGGGATGGACCACTGACAGGATGGACAAGGTGAAGGAGACAAGAAATCCTCCTGGGAGCCATCTCCCTGTGGCCACTGGGATGGCCCAGCCTCCTGGGCCTCCTGGCTGGGGGCAGAGCGCAGCCCAGCACGTGCTGGCCCAGCGTCCCGGCCATGCCCTCGGTGCCCCGCTGGGCACGGCGCCGCGGGCGGGAGCCACGTGCGAGGCCCGGCACAGGCGGCTCCGCTTTCCCGTGGTGAGGCGAATTGCTCCCTGGAGCGTGAGATCTGATTAGATTCGTGACACACCGCAGCGTGGCAACAACGCCATGGCCAGGACCACGGTGCGTGCCCCGCGCCCGACCTGGGCGCAGCAGGAGGGGCAGGGGCAGCTCGGGGAGGGGGCAGTCGGGCATGCTCCGGGATGTGCCGGCCTGAGACACGGGACAGGGTCAGGGCTGGCTGCCACTGAGTCTGGGTGATGAGCAGGGTTCTGCTGTACATCCCTGGGGCAGCCACCAGCCCTGGGGGCCGCGGGAGGTATGGAGGGAGGGTCTGAGGTTCCCTCACCCTGGCAGATGTTACCCCATCCCTACCTGAGGGCCGCAGGAGGGGTGAAGGGAAATTTGGAGGTTTCCTCACCCCAGTGGATGATTACCCCCTTCCTAACTCCTGATGGATGTGAAATGATGCTTTCCCAGCTCTAGCTAGTGAGGCAGCTGCAGAGCCAGCCCACCAGGGCAGCAGCTCACCGAGCCTCGGAGAGCCCCAGGCAGATGGGGGTCAGGGGAGCTGCCCAGCCGGGAGAGGATGTGTCTTCAAAGGCCTCTCAAGGCAACAAACAGTACCTGTTATGCAGTTTACCCTTCACATTTGCTGCCTTGAATGGCTCCTGAGCAATGTCTGCCTCTTCATTTGAGATCTTTCAACAGCTGTCTGATAGAGAAGACCTTTATCTCGCCTCTCCCGGGCTCCCATCCAACACCAGTCTCTGGAGGTGGGGAAGAAGGGAAAAAAACCCAGAATTCACTCCTGACCGAGAGTCTCACCTAATCCACGGCGTGTGGAAAATTACTGCCACCGCACGGTGCCCAGCCTGGCCCCCTTCCCACCCACGCCAGCCAGGGACTGCTCCCAAGGCTTTTGTGCCTGGGTTTTTTTCTCTCCTCTTCCTGCTGGGAGAATGGGAACTTCAGCGTTTGGACAAACCCTTGAGAAAACAACTTCACACGTGCTTGGGGCACTGAGTCGGTTTTTTATTTAATTTTGTCTCATCCTGAGACGGATTTGCCTGGAATCACTGTGCAGGCTGTGAAAGCCCCCCAGCCCCCCAGCACACTGCCCAGACCAGGGGCCATTCGTGCCAGTAGCTTTGCTGGGAGCCTGTTGAGCTGTGCCAGCACTGCAGGCTGTGGCACCGAGCTTTGCCCCTCCTGGCATGAATCCAGCCTGGCAGTGCCACCAAGTCCCACTCAGTCCTGGCCACTTCCACCCCACAGGAGATGATGGGAAGAAGCTCTCCAGGATGGTGTTGAGCTTCAGGAGAGGTCACCTCACTCCTCTGGTCAATACAGGCACAATGAGGTGAGGAATCACCTCTGCCACCCCGAGATATCTGCACAGGGACCTCTAGAAATGAAGGTTGCCCACTCTGGGTTGCTCCTGCACAGACAGAGAGACAAAGACACTGCCAAGCTTCCCCTGAGATCTGCAACATGTCCTTCAGCATCCCATTGTACCCTGGGATCCACTGAAAGGGTTGTCAGACACTGGAACAGGCTGACCTGGGAAATGGTGGAGTCACCATCCCTGAAAGTGTTCAAAACATGCGCAGATGCAGCACCTGGGGACATGGTTTGGTGGTGGCCTTGACACTGCTGGGTGAATGGCTGGACCTGATGATCCTAGAGGGCTTTTCCAGCCTTAATGAAACCATGGGTTCACTGCCTGAGCCCTTGCTGGCCCTAAGGAATGAAGGCACCAGGTTGTGTTTGTGCTCTCCAGAGGGGCTGTGCCATCAGCATCTCCTCTTGTCCCCAGCATGTCCCCTGCATGGTCCTATGACATACTCACCAGTCCTGGAACTGGGATTAAAGACACACAGGTGCAGAGTTTCTTCCCATCTGGGTGCTCTGGACAGAGCTTTGCCTGAAGGAGGAGGTGCACAAAGCTTCACACCCTGCTGACTGGAAAGAAAGGATTGTTCTCCCTAGATCACAGTTGGGGAAGTTGAGTCACAGGGCAGTAAATCTCAGAGCTCAGAGGAAGGTGGTTTGGCTAATTTTGTCTTGCCTGTGAATAGCAGGCAGAAGGAAACACAAATGCAAATTGTTTCCTATGGCAAATAAACCCCCACATTTTACCTCCTGTGTTCTCTTTTCACATCATCCAATGGCCAGTTCAGACCGAGGCATTGCAACCTCTGTGCCATGTGCGACCCCAAACTCCTCCTCATCACTTTGGGATTGGTTATAAATCATAGGGAATTTGCTTTCTTCATTCCTCAGATTATTTTGGAAGTATAAAGCACTTCCAGCACAGCTGCCAAGCTCAACCTGTGTGATCGTGCCCAGGGCCAGTGAGATCTGAGCCCTGGAGACACTCGGTGATGGATCGGAGGCCTGGACACACTCTGTGGTCCCTCCTCTGGCAGAGCTGATCTCACCTCACCTGGGAGCTGGGGGGAGGAAAATCAAGAGACAAGGGTGCAAACCCAGTCCCCAGCTGGCAAAGGCCATACCTGCCTGTGCACATGCTGACTGTACAAATAAAACTGCAGCACCACTGCAGTGCTGCTGGTGCCAGGAATTTATGGTCCAACTGCACCTGAAGTGCCTGCCCAGAGCCAGGAGAGGGGAGGCAGCTGCAGCCTGGCTGGCTGGGTGGAGAGGAGGGAAAAAAGCCCTGCTGCTTTGGGTAAATAAAGCAGTGAGAGGCGGGGTTCATGCTCGGGTGGGTCACCATGGTGCTCCCCAGCAGCGTGCTTTGGGAAAACCAACCCCCTTCCACAGCATCCTGCCACCACCACTGGCAGCCCCTGGGGGCACATGGCACAGGACCAGCCCACACATCGCCAGGGGTCAGCTGCTGTCACTGGCAGGATGCTCAGAGGTCCGTGGACTAGCTGGGATAATCTTCTGCTAAGATGGGATGCTGGATAACGTTATCTGAAGTGTCTTCAGGATTTAAGGGCCCGGCTCTGCGAAGGAATGGAAATTGCAGGAATGAGGTACCTAAATAAGAGCAAGACACTTGAAAGCCACTCTGGATCAGGCTTTTAATTTACCATTTAACCATACAGTAAGAAAGCCTCTTGAAAGATAAGGGCTGTGTTGTAGAGATGCATCCATCTAACCTGGTCCCCCTTTTCCATCGGTGCCAGGTGCCTGGGGAAGCAATTACAAATGTGGTTGGCATGTGTAACATTTGCGTGCTCCCCTGATCTCCAGACATTCACGGAGCAGAGTTTTCTGAGCTAGAGAGGTGCTGCCTTTCTCCTTAAGAGCTCTCCATGGGCTTTTTCCTCATATCTTTGAACTCTCACACCTCCAGTACGAAGTGGGAGCACCCGCTCCCCCTGCAGCATGGAGCTCTCCTTAAGGATGCTCCATGGAACAGACATCTCCTCGGATTTCCTTTGAACGTGGCCCCTGCTAACTGTTTCACCTAGATCCCAGTTGATATACGAGAAAAGGAGTGAACAACCACCTGTTTTCTCCCTGCTGCTCAGAAGTCTCTGCTTCCAGGAGTTGGATCTTCCACCACCAGCAAGGATGGTCCCGATGACATGGAAGAAAATTACTTCACACCCCTTGTCGTGGATGCCTTTGGACATTGTTTTCTTTTCCATCCCTGACCAAAACAAAGAAACGCAGGAAGAAAATTCTGTTCTGCCCCATTTGCTGGCTCACGGCAGTTCACAAGTGACCTTCGAGCTCCCCACTGTGCTGAGAGTGTCTCTGAACCTCAGCACTGCTTCCAGAGGGGGGAAACTGAGCCACAGGGCAATTGCTTAGACTTCTTCTGGTCACCTGGTAACAAGACAGTTAAAAAAGGCTCCCAAAAACCAGTCTGGCCAGCACCACTGGGGCATTTAAATTCTGCTTTTCCTTGGGTGGATTTGTCCTCACCAGCACTGCTTATTCTCATTACAAGCTTTTAATATGCTTTTAAACAGCAAGAGCAGGTAAACTGAGGCACCAGAAGGGCCCCTGCAGCCTAAACAAAACCCCACAGAAAGGTGGTAACACAAGTGTAGATACCCCCACACTTGAACCCCTTGTCCCCTGACCTGGCAGGACACCTGGGGACATGGGATGGCAGTAGCTGGGCAGTGGGGACAGGGGGTGGCAGTGGCTCTCAAGAAGGGCTGTTCCATAACCCAGGAGCCCAGCAGCCAAGGCAGGGATTCAGAAGCAGGGAACCAGAGGCAGGGATGCAGAGGCAGGGGCACCACCAGCACGGGCTCCCCAGCCCCAGCCAGGCAGCTGATTAAAATGCAGTCCGGCCATCCCGGGCCTGTCCCCACCGTCTCCCGGCTTTAAATAATAGCTTAATTATCTCATTTACATTTGGCTCCTTTCAGGGAGGCACTGCAGTTGATTAACATTTTCCCTCCCGGTGTCTTGCTCTGCGTCCCTGCTTCCTCCCACCCTTCCCACGCTGCCGCCCCCCTGCCCAGGCTCGGCTCCCTCTCCCACTGGGTCACCCAGCCCCGCTGCCCCCAGCCCCGCTCCTCCCGCACACTCAGGGCTCTCCGGGGCTCTGGAAATGCCGAGACCCAGCTTGCAGATGGCCACGACAGATGCAGATGCTGGAGGATGGGAATCAGTGCCCCGGCTAGGCAGCTGTGGGATGAAGGCTCTCCTCATCCTCTCTCGGTGTCCTGCCATTGCTTTGCTGCCGGTGCTGCCCCTGATCTCTCCCCACGTTCCCGCTTCCACCCCTCACTGGGTAGCTTTTAACTTTCTTTTTTATCTTCTCTTTTTAAATCTCCTTTGAACGCTCCAGCCAAACACTGAATTCCTTTGAAGAAGAAGAAAATGTCTCTGTGGGTTGCCCTTTCTCACCGGCTGGAGCTGTGAGAGATCCCAGTGCCCAGCCTGAGAGCCCTGTGGCTCCCCCAGCTCCAGGCACGTCCCCAAGGGTGTTCCTGGAGGAGACCAGGACTGGAGGCATCACCAGCCCTCACCTCCCAGACCCTCCAATGCCTGTCAGGTTGTCCAGAAAAGCTCCTTCATCACATGGGGTCTCTAGGACACAAATTATTGTCCCCTGCCTCGCTGAAGGGGAGATTTTGCAACAAAATTTATGTGTAATTATCTTCCCAGGCCCCAAGGCCATGAGGCAGAGGAGGAGCCAGGAGGATGTGTGTGGACTCCCTGCTCTCCCCACCGGTCACACCACACCCCGAACTGGGACAGGACCTCACAGACAGGGGCAGGGAGGTGATGCCACCAGAGCCCCATCCCACTGCTGCTGGGGGAGATGGACGTCCTCAAGGCTCTTCATTAAACCTGCTTCCTGCTGCATGAGCCCGTGGCCCGGCAGCCCCTTTCCCCCCTCCTCTCATCCCCCTTCCTTGGCTCCCTGCATCCCTCCCCAGGCTTGGCACAGCCAGCCGAGCCGCAGCACAGCACTGCAGACCCCGCTGCTGAATCCCAACCTCCTGCGTGACTGCCAGGCATTCCAGATAGTCCTATTGATCCTGCGGAGCCTCCAATCCCCCATCCCTGCTGCTAATTTAGCTGGGACAGCGCCGTCCCCTCTCCCTTTGATCCGCTCCCTGCCGCTCCCTTCAAACAGCCCCCACTGCCAGGAGAGTTTGGGCTCGGTGCAGAGGTGCTCTTTTTGGAACATATATTTTTAATGGGGATTTCAGACGTGACGCAGGCACGAGGGAGCAATTCTCCCGTGCCCTGGTATTTACATATTTTCCAGCGCAGGCAGGGGAAGGTTTCACGGAGGGAGCCCGGCAAACAGGAAGGAAAGGAGCTTTGTGCTTTGTATCGCCAGGGCCCAATTACAGCCTGAAAGGCGAGGAGCCCATCCGGGTATTGCCCTCTCCAGCCAGTCCAGGCTGCAATTACAGTCCTCGCCAGGCTCAGCAGGGTCTGGGAAAAAAATAGATCTCAAGAGCTTCACAAATGATCGCTAGCTCGCTCTTCGGGGCGCGGGGATTTTAGGGCACCATCTGCTCGCTCTGTTCTGCCAACACAGATCCTAAAAACTACTGGGTTTCACCTGGCTCCTGGAAGAGAAGGAGAGCAAGGGAGAGCCCCAAGGCTCCCGCTGTGCTGGGAGTGAGGGAGGGGAGGCTGGGGCTGGGGAGGTGATGCTGCAGGGCTGTGGCTGGTGCTACTGCCAGCAGGGCTTAGGGTGGGATGTGAGAGGAGATCCCACAGAGAAAAGGGGGTGGGAAGCTGGGATGAGGTTTCCCTTTCCCACTGGGACTGACCTTCCCACAGAGGGACGTGACTCCCAGCCTGGGGCGTGCCCGGGCATCGCTGTGCTGCTGGTGCAAGCCCAGAGCTGGCAGGAGCCCTGTGAGGGTGCCTCGTTACCAGAGGGACAGCACCCAGCCTGGCACCCCCTGGGCAGCTCACACCACACTTCAGGTCACTTCTGAAGCCCACACAAGCCATTCAGGCCACCAAATGCCATCCCCAAGCTGCTGGTAGGCTTGGCTGCCCTCAAGGTGGTGCCTACCATGGGGACAAGAGCGTGTGACAACAGAGGGTGGTGGCATTGCTGCCTGAGGACCTGTGCTGAGACCCAGGGAGGGCTCTCCAGGGAATCTGTCACTGTGACTGGGGGGACTCCCTTTAAGCTCCAGGCCACGTGCCTTTGACCACAGTAAAATCTGATGGCAACAGCATTTTCCACTGTTCCAGGGCAGTTTCTGGGCAATGATTGGGAAAACTAAGCTGCAGAGAAAGTAGGAAAAGGCAAAAAGAGCTATATGGAAAAATAGATGGAAATATATGAGAATCATGGTGTGATTCATGGGCTGTCCTGTGCACAGGACTCAATAGTCCTTATGGGTTCCTCCCAGCTCAGGATATTCCGTGATTCTCTGATCATATGTAGTGTGCTAAGACCAGCAAGCTCTGGTTTGGAGCCAAATCAGCAAACACTGAAGTGGTGCAAATGAGTGAGCCAGGTTTTATCTGCCAGGAGTAAAGTAACGTGCAAGGGGAGGGTCTGTCCCACCAAACTGAACTCCTGGAGAACCACCACGCTGCTCTCAACACACAGGAATTGTGTTTTCTTTGAAGCTCTTTCAATCTCCAAGTCCTGCCTGGCAATTATACCCATTTTCAGGTCTGAATTTGCTGGCCTGTCTCTAGACATATGCTGGATGATATGATATGGAGCAGTTGGGCATGGATCTCCACGCAGCAGCGCCGTCTGCTTCGAGCACTCCCGCTGTGGCTCTCTCTGCTCCTTCAGCTCTCTGAAACCTAGATTAATATTTGGATGTACAGGAGGCTGGCTCTGCATCTCAGCACGGGCAGGGAAGGGGTAAACCCCAATCCAGCAGAGCAGGGAGGGTGCCTGGGACAGGGTTTGGGACAGGGTGAGCAGTTCTGTCACCTCAGCCAGCTGCAGGTCACCCAGCTCTCCCACACTTCCCCCCAAAATGTTGACCATAAACATCCCAACATCAGTGAGGAGGACCATGACTGTTCCTGCAGTCAGAGAACGGGATGTGGCAAGGTCTATGGGGGGCATTAAACCCAGCCTCATGCCTTGCTTTCCAGTGTTGTCCACACAATGAACCACCAGGCACACATTTCCTGCTGTCCTCCCCAGCCTTGCCTAGGATTTCTGGGCATGAGAATCATTTAGAGAAATAGTGGGGCAGACCACAAGCTGATTCTGGTTCCCATCAGTAGGTTCCAGAGTTAAAATCAAGCTGTTATTGTGGCAAAGGTTGTCCAAGGAAAGCAACTGCAGACAAGGCTGCACCCCCAGACACGGTGGGGTGATGCCTGCAGCTCCCAGCACACTGTGCTCTGCCAGTCCCCTGCCTTTCCCTTGGCACAGGACCTGGCTCTCTGCAGGATCCCCTCCATCAGGACACTTTGCAGCAAGGCTCAAGGGCAGATTTCTCTCTTTGGAGTGCACACTGAGGGTCTGACCAGAGTGAGCACCCTCGGGCACACCCCGAAAGGCTAGTGGGCAGAATCCTGTCAGTTTGACCTACAGATCATCCTGGAAGTGGCTCCTGAGGTTCCCATTCAGCAGCCAAGCACTGGGTGTGGCTCTGGGTCATAAGCAGGGCCACAGCATGTCCTGGCTAGAGCCCTGCAGTTCCACTGGCCAGCAGACCACCCTGTCCCATGCCAAGAGCAGCCCTGGGAGCTCCCTGGGCTCAGGGGGCAGTGACACCTGGCTGAGCAAGGAGGAAGAGCCATTCCAGAGCTACAGGCACAGAAATCCCATCCCACATGGGGCCCAGTCCCTGCAGCAGGGAGGTTCTGAGGGCCAGTTTGAAGGCCAGATTGGAGATGTCCCTTCCTGCACCTTGTTTCCTCTTTGGAGAGCTCTTATTGTCACAGGGATTAGAGGAAGGACCCACAGTGCCATGGCCTGGCCTGGGGATGCTCCAGCAGCTGCCAGTGAGGCAGAGGTGGCCAAGCCTGACCCCACCATGTTTCAGCACAAGTTTGGCACCCAGTGAGGTGTCAGTCCCCAGTGGCTCCATGCCAGCTCCCAGCCAGAGCCAGCTTTACCTCCCTGTGCAGAAGGGAGATCCTGGCTGAACGTGGTATCCAGCCTGAGCTCTCCTGCACTTTGCCAGCTGCCTTCCCGGCAATGTGTAGGGTGGGGGCTGAGGTTATCTGGCTCCTTGGTGTCTTCTGCTCCTCCTGGTTTGGCCCTGATAGAGCCACGAGGTATGGTGATGGTTTGTGCATCCCTTCTGATGAGGTCTTGCAGCCCAGGAGACCCTGCAGTCCTCAGGCTGGAGGAAACCAGGGGTGAGACCACAGCCTTGTCTGTGACCCTCACAGGACTGCCAGCACTGTTGTTTACGGGCTGAAGGAGGTCCCGAATGTCAGTGGGAAATGTCACAAGTCTCTACATCAGGACTTCTCCAAGTCCCATCTTCCAGGGAGTCCCAGCTGGGTGAATTCTGGACCAGGTCTCTGTCCCACTGAAACTCCTTCCCAGCCCCAAACACCAGAGTGGCACCATTTCTGCTGCCTCAGCCCACCAGCCTGTGCTCGGGGCCACAGGAGGATGGAGTCCCCCCTGGAGCCCACCGTGCTGCCAAGCCCTGGCCCCCACCTCCCCTGCACACCACTGCCCCTGAGAAGCCAAAGCCACATGCCTTGCTCCCAGCTGCTGGAGAAGAGCCAGGAACCACTTCCAGACTGCGTCACCATATTCATGGCCTCTCTTGGGCTATATTTAGTTTTGTGACTGCAGGTTTTTCTGGACGTCGAGTTGCTAAAGAACTGGCACTCCCCACTCAAAGCAGAGCACATCCCCAAGGGGAGCTGAGCTGGGAGAGGAAGCTGAGCTGGGAGGGGGATCTGCACGAGCAGAAGGATTGGAGCATCCCCCAGGTGAGGTTTGCCATGCTGACAGGAACAACCAGCACACAGCAATTTTAGCCCTCCCCATCTCCTGTGCAGGGAAATATGTGTGGAGCTGGCAGCTTGTGCAGAGCCAATTTCGTTTTGCCATGGCCAGCAGATCTGGAGAGGATGTGAACCTCAGCGCCAAAAGCTGCCTCGCAAGGAGGTCACAGAAAATGCGGAGGGAGGAACGGTGGCTGTGCTGCACATCAGCCACTGTGCTCCACAGGCTCTTTATGAGTCTGAGCTCAGGGCACTGACTCAACCAGCACAGCGTCCCTCTGGTCCCCTGGGTGCCCCAGACTGGCCTGCAGCACAGCAGGGGATGCAGGAGTGCAGCTCTGGGCATCCCTCAGGTACAGCTGGGCAGCTGCCAGACCTTGTGATTCTCCTTCTGCCTGGGACCATGCTGGGATGGGACCCGTGCCCAGGAGGTGCCATGGATGGGGTATGGGCTCTATCAAACCCCAGTGCAGAACAGGGGGAGCTCTGAGCAGCCTGGTCTAGTGGAGAATGCCTCTGCCCATGACAGAGGATGGAATGAGAAGAGCTTTAAGGTCCATTCCAACCCCAACCATTCCAGGATTTCATTATATGACTCCGTGAAGCCAGTGCTTCTATGCTCACCTGGCTTGAAAACACCTACATTTTCCCTAAACATTTTTTTCACGATTCACCAGGAGATTAATTAGCTGCTTGGAAACCCCAGACATTAATTATTGGTTATGAAGCCAGTACATGGTGATCCATGGCCTTAGACATGGCACAGCCACATTCTTCCAGCCTTCAGGAACCCCAAAACTGCTTTGGAGTTCATTGTGTGAGGAGGTGGAGCAGTCCTGGAATGTTGACCTCAACATAAAGTGGCAGAATTTCCCAGGTCAGAGGGGACTTCAGGAGGTCTCTAGTTCAACTTTCTGCTCCAAGCAAGGTCAGCTGCAAGATCTCATTGTCCAGAAAATGAGAAAACCTCAAAGAATGGAGACAGTACAGTTTTCCTGGGCAAGCTGCTGATTACTGGCTGCCTTCATGGAAAAAAGTGTGTCTTTATCACCTGAGCTTCTCTTAACTTACCTCATACCTGTTGTCTCTCTTCCTCTCACCACACACAGAGTCTGGCTGTCTTCTCCAACACCTCCTCACAGGTACTGCATGGCTGCTTTAGGTCCCTCTGAATCCTTCACTCCTCAAGGATAAATCTCCCACTGCTGTTCTCATCATCCTGGAAAGGGGAGGAACTACCTTCAGAAAGAAAAGAGAAAAAAACAAAGAAATAAAAAAGAAAAAGAAAAATAAGATTACAAAAAAGAAAGAGAACTACCTCTAACTCTTGTGACCCTCTTCACTCCAATCCCACTAAAAGTGACAGCAAATGAGGAGATCCTATCCCATCATACTCTGGGCTGCTCTAAGAATCAGGAACAATAAATCAACTGACTTCAGTCCAGGATGTTCCCATCTCTTTGCTGGCACCAGATAACACAGGGCTGTGAATATTCCCAGCCTGGAACACCTCTGAAGGAAAAGAAGCTGCAGCCTGCAAGGCAGGGAAGCAGAGATACTTAACAGGTAAAACAAGGGAAAAGGAGGCTCCAGAGTCTCAGGTAAATCTGTTAATCCCACGGTGCCTTCATTTTCCATGCTGCTCCTGAGGAACCCGTGCCTGAATGCACAAAGTATCTGCACAGGGAAGCAATTGCTGCCTAATCAGCCTCTTCCCCTGGCTGAAGCTTCTGCCCTGTGCTGATTTCACAGACCCTCAGCACAAGCCAAACCCAAAAATCAGTGCTGCCATGGTCAAGGTGAGCTCTCCAGGAGGTGAGCTACATCTTTTTCCAGGTTGACAGCAAGATGAAGAGGGGCTGGAGGCACAGGAGGTAGCTCCATCCATCAGGAGCAGATCTGGTATCACCACCATCAACCATCATCAACCACATTCCCCTGCCTCCAACAGTGCCCCTGCAATATCTCCTCAACCAGCAAGGACCAAGGCCAGCCCTGGTCACAGAGACAGCAGTTCCAGCTGTGGACAGGCAGGCTGGAGCCTGGAGGTGAGCAGGTATGTAGAAGGTGTGATGGAAACAGGAGGTTAAGAGCAGTGTGGAGGGCAGGTGGAGTGGGGAGGAACAGGACATAGCCAGAGGTGACCAGGCAAGAGTGACCACGAGCTTTGTGCCTGCTGGACAGGACCAGCTCCCACAACAGAAGGCCACTGGGAGCTGGCACAAAGGTGAGAGCAATCCAGGAAACCCTTGGAAGCCACCAGGAGACTTAAAGAGGGTCAGGAGATTGTAGGTCTCATCTCCAGCTACTCATTAGCCACAAGGACTCTGGCCTTTCAACCAGGCTAATTACTGATTGCTCAAAGGATAACACTTCCCACAGCTGCTAAACTTGCTGACACTGGGCCCTGGATGTCTTCTATTCTGGGAAGGGGGAGTGGAGTCTCCTAGTGTGAACTTGTGGAGCTGGGCAAAGCCACACTGGAGCAGAGATAAAGTCAAGGACAGCTGCAGCTGCTTGGCAATCGCTCAAAATGAGCCACGAGTCACTGACTTGGCTATTCTGGGATGAGCTGAAGAGCCAGAGCTGGGGAGAACAAATTCATGGCCTGCTCACACAGAAATGCACTGCAGCAAGCCTGGACCTGACCAGTGCTCAGGCACATTTGTCAGGGACCTTAACTTACGGGGCGGCTGCAAAGCTCTGTCCCTGGTCACCAGCAAGGAGCTGTGGCTGCAGATCTGCCTTGGGACTGATCTACCAGAGCTCACAGGTCTCCAGCAGGGGAGGACCACACAGCTCCCCAAAAGTCACAAAGAGAAATCACTGCTTTGAGAACTTTTCAACCCTTCAGGTTGCCTGAAATTGGGTCAAAGCCTTTGCCCAGGGCTGCCATGCCTGAGAACAACTGCTGCCAAAGCTTCTAGAGAACCTAGCAGAGGTTTCCCAAGTCAGAATTTACTGGGGAATGGGGTGGATGAAGCCTGTGATATTCCCTGAAACTGCAACCAGTGACCAGAGTAATCCTCTCAAATCTTTGCTGCAGGCAAGGAACCTGAATTGGAACCTGAAGTGTTTATGTGCTGTATTTCCCAGCTGTTGGGTGACAGCACTGGGCTGGGAGGCTCTGATGTGGCCCAGCAAAGGTTTGTTCCCTGCCTCCAGTACTCCCAGCATTGCTGGGACTGACCTGATGCCTCCACACAGCCCAGTGCAGGTCACCTCCAGAGCTGCAAGACTCAGCCAGACAATTAAGCTCGTTGGGAGCTCACCCAAAGGACACCGGGCATTTTGAGGTCACTCACTGCATATGCTGGAAAGCAGATATGATCTCATTAGGCAAATATTTATGATCAATATTGTCCACACTCTGGCAGTGAACAGCATCACTTGGAGCTAGAAGCTCTCCAGGGATGGATGTGGGTTCACTGAAGAGCCTGGGCTGAGCGTGAACCTCTGCTCACCTGGCTTGAAAACACCTACATTTTCCCTAAACATTTTTTTCACGATTCACCAGGAGATTAATTAGCTGCTTGGAAACCCCAGACATTAATTATTGATTATGCAAAAGATTTTGTTCATCACAGTTGCTGAGCTTGTCAGTGCTGAGGACATCAGGATGGAGAGGAAGTCTGGATGGGCCCTGGATTTGCCAGCAGTTTCCCATGGCGGGGCCTCTCCACAAGGTAGAACAGCTCCAAAACAGGAGCCAAGCGTGGCAGCGAGAGCCCAGCTCAAACACAGCTGCCCTGAGGGGCAGGGAACTGAGGCACAGGACGGCGTGACCCGTTCAGCAAACAGACACGGCACCCCCTGCACCCTGGGGCGCCTGAGCCCAGCTTGGGGCTGCTCCCGGGGCGTGCAGAGGGCAGATATCCAGCATCATCTCCCCTGGCAGGGACACGGCGACTCCACGGGCACAGCCCGGTGCCAGCAGCCCCTCAGCAGCCCCTCCTCGCCCCGGCTCCCCGGGCAGAAGGAGCCGCAGCCGCGGCGAGCGCGGGTGGCAGTGATAAACCTCCTGCAACGCCCGGCAATTAATCTTGCGGAGCGGTGAGTCAGAGTCACCCGGAGCTTCCTCCCCTCACCCAGAACCAGCCACCGCCGTCTCCAGAAGCTCTCGGCTCCAGGGACCTGCAGATGCCACCTGGCTGGGGAGAAGGATTTTTTTTAATTTTTGTGCCGTGCCATCACTGCGAGGTACTGGATTGCCCTCCGGACCTCCAGGGAAACAAGACCCACCGACACCCGCATGTGCCCGCCTGTCTCTGCAGAGGAGTGGGGTGCTTTACTCCCAGCTTCTCTGGCCATCAGGAAGGCGAGAGGGAGATGCCATCCTCATGATAAAGCCCATATAAAAAAGGTGTCAAAAGCCAGAGGGGAGGAGGAGGCAGGAAGGACTTGAATAAAGCCCCCGGGAAGGAATGGATATATTTAACTCCCACCAAGAAAATGCCCCCCCACATTTTTCCCCTGTCCCCACCCCCCAAAATCTGCGGTGCTCCCCAAACTTTCTCAAGCTTTCCCGGGGAAAAGCCTCTTCCCGCCTTGCCCTAGGCATGAATGCAGTTTGCAGTTTTAACAGCAGATGTCTCTCCTATTATGATTTATAAAAATGCTTAAAATAAATAATGCAAACATATTTACAGGAATGAATTCCTGCTCCTGAGCGCGTTTGTCACTCGGAGGCTCCCGAGCAGGAGCGCCTCGCCGCCTGAGTGCCTCCCGCACAGCCTCCCGCTGTCCCCCCGCCGCCCCCTCCCGCCGGCGCTGCGGCGGCTGCCAGGAGCCCAGGGCAGGGTGGCCAAATCCCAAATCCCCCCCCCAGCCCCTCCCCAAACCCCGGGTCTGGGCCCACACCAGCGTTTCAATACAAATGTTGTATAATCAACGTGTTAAATATTTAAAATGGTCGTGCAGGAGAGCTGCCCGGCGGTGCCTGATTTCACACATCCTGACAATTTCACGGACCTCTGGGCTTACGTTTCTTGGCAAATAATGAAAGGCGGTGGGAGCCCCCTTCCTCGAAGGGCACGTTGGGGAGGTTTGCCCTGGCCGCAACTCCTTCAAACGCGATGCGACTTGCGCAGCGCCTCTCCCACCTCCGCGCCCAGCCATGTCCAATGCTTTTAAGCGTGACCTTCGCGCGGGGCGGATGCAGCCGTCACGCCGCCGAGGTGACTCAAAGGCAGAGCGGGGGGCCGGGGAGGGGGGCACGGCCGGGGGCAGCTGCCGGCAGAGCCGGCGCTTCCAATGGAGCAACTTTTTTCCATGGCCGTTCCCGCAGCCGCGCTCTTTCCGGCGCGGTGCACACAAAGAGCCGGCGTACCTGCGGTGATGCGAGTGGCCCAATTACCGCTCCGCACCCAGCCTGGCCGTTTCCATAGCTTCACAGCACAGCGCTTCCCTCTCCCGAGGCCATCGGAGCAGGACCCGGCATCTTATCAGCGATCATCCTGCCACGCAGCGCTCCTCCGGGCCCTACCTGCCGACGGCCAGTCTCGCTGGCAACGCAGGATAATATCTTTTCCCACCAGAGCCGGGCGATGATTTCTTCCCGCTGTAATTTTGTCTTGCTTCCAAAGCCGCTTGCATAACCGGTGCCGAGGAAGCAGAGCACAAAGCAGGGCAGCTACAGGAGCTCCCCGAGCAGGAGTGGGGTGAGAGGCTGTCCCGACCTGGAGGACACCCCGAGAGGCTCTGGTGCTTCAGTCCTGCCAAAGGAAGGGTGAGAGGAGGCATCAAAAAGGACTAATGTATCTCCCTGGCCAAACCCCACTGGCAAGCTGTGAGGCTGAGCCAAGAGGACAGGGAGGTGGGGGACAGAATTTTCTCCCAGTGAGCCAGATCCTGCCTGGGTGAGAGCTCCATGGGAGCCCAGAACCACAGCCTTTCAAAACAGGCACAGAATTTGGGCTGGAAAGCCTGCTCCAGGAGGAGCGGGGGTGTTTGTGGCCTTCTGAAGGGGTGACTTGCTCCAGTTCCTTGCCTTCTTGCAGGTTGCCTTGGCAAGGAGCAGAAGCACAGGGCGTGTAGAGGCATGAGGTGTCTCTGCTGCAGCCTTTGTCATGGAGGAGAGACACATTCCAGGTAGCACAGACAGGAAAATCATGAACTGAATACCCTGACATCCTCCAAGTGAGGGTCTTGTGTCCTTTCCTGCCTCAGCTAGAGCCACAGCCAGCGCTGCACATCCCATCCACCCCATCCTCCACTTCCCAGCTCCAGAGC